GTGTCTCGTTCTCTAGTTTGTCATTGTTATAAAAATAAAACAGAGACAATGCTTCTGCAGCAGGCGACGACGTGCCCAAGCAGTCATTTAAGTCATTTCTTAACATTTTGTGAAACACTTTTGCAAATACTTCTTTTTTTTTTTGTTTTCTTATTGATCAGAACTCAAGAGCTCTCAACTCGGCACAAATATGTGTTCAGCTTTATAAAGCGTATTCGATTGTCTTGTATTTCTGTTTGTGTTTTCGCATGCGAACCGAACGAACGAGCCACATTTTACCAACTGAGAACTGAGAACTCAAATTGAAATTCGTTGTAGGCACATGCGATTTTCTATGCGAACAGCGCCCCGCCTCGAGTAGTCGTACACCCGTACTGGTACCCGTACCCCCACACACACATTAACCACCAGGTATCTCTTGTCTTTCTGTCTATCTGGCCGCACTCGATCTACATACGTTCTGCGTTCCACACACTCACAGCCAAATAGCCAAGACTCGTACAAACAGAATTCATTTCGCATTGTCGATCGGGACCCGGGCCGCACTCAACAGTTACAGACCCATATATCCCATGGACAGTTATCAGCCATGACACTAAGGCCTCTACACAGGTAACCAAATAGATATCGACATATATCTCTGTGTATGTGTGGGCAATATCTAATGGCCCATTAATTTTTTGCCTAAACATTTACGAGTGTACGCTCGATATGAGAATGACAAGTATCTAGAGACACGTTTTGTTGATTATTGTTGAATTCCAGAGGTAAATCAATTTTAATTTCATTTAAGTGCTGTGCTCGATGGATAAGTTCTCTAAGTGTTGTCGGCGAGTATTACAGAGTCGAGTGCGTCTTGTATGTAAAGTCGTTCTCCTAGAGCTTTTCTTTATCAGTCAAAAATCAGGTCAAAAAGATCCCATGGTAGCCAAACCTTCTTTGAAAATAAAGAGCTGTAATCTGTTGCCTGTTTAATGGCCCGTAGACTTTATCCACAAGACGTGCCCTGTGCGAACCTCAATCGCATCTGTACAGATATACATTCATAGCATGTGGAAATGTTTTGTCAAATTTATTTCGAAACGCAGAATGTCGGCCATATATACACATGCTGAAAGCGCATGCATATAGAATATATATGCTTATATATACAAACATATCTTGTATTCCGCTTTGCTCGAACCGGTTTACACCGCCCGCCGTCTATGCAAATGCGAGAGATTTGGGTGTTCGATCGATTAAAAATAGCCCCCACATCCCAGTTGACATTATAAAAGGGGCTGGCGCCTTTCTTTTTACTGTTTTTTATTGCAGTTAAATAAACAATTGTGCACTTAACATCTAAAGTTCTTGGGCCTGTCCCGACCCATAATAATTGATATCTGATTTTAATCAGAAGCGCCCTCCCGCCCAAGGCATATATCTTATCGGCGGAATGTATCATACCCGAGTGTTACGAATGTCTCAAGTGCCACAGGATGGATCTATGAGTAATTTTACAAAGAAACCATAACGTAATAACACAAGCAGCAGTTGATACCCTTTATCGGCACAACCAAAAGCAGGTGTAGTTAACAATGTGACGTCAAGAGTGTGACGCACCTGAACCAATAATTTGTAGTCAAGTGTTGCTGGCGGGAAGCAATTAAAACAATGATTATGACTAAATTGAAGCCAAAGCAGGCCCAAATACAGTAGCATTCTTTTATTTTATTTGTTCAACTTTTATTTTTCCAACTAAGATGTCTGAGATACGAATAGAGATACGAAAGTTGGCCTTGTAATGCCCGTTCCACGGGGCAAGAAGAGTTCAAAGAACTCTCGCTAAATGTACTATACACAATTCTAGCTGGTAACAGAATCGTAATCTGAACAGGTTTCAATTTAATTTATAATATGTAAGACACATCATGCCGAGCACATGCTGAAAATGTCAGTTCATGTTGATGCCTTAACACTCGGACGCTAAAAGGTGATCAACATTTTATTCAGTCCGGCGACGTATCAATAAAAATGTTTGCAAGATTGTAAACAAACTTGGCTAATATATTATTTTATCATTTAAATGATATACAATAGCATATTAGCATGTGAATTTGTCTGGTTTATTACACAATTATCCAATAATTAACATATCATTGATCGTTTGTCTGTAGATCGTAAACATTTTGAACGTGAAAGATCCGTAAATTTGTATTATGTTTCATTTTATCATTCAATATGTTCTGCTTAATAACAGATCGTATGGCATATTCATGTTCTTAAGATCCTTAAAAGTTGGAAGGATCAGTAGATATTGGTAATAGTTTCCTTTTTGAACGAAATAGCAGGTCATCTTTTATTCGAGTATTAAAAAATATCCTAGGGTCGTTAGACGATGGAAAGATCCATAGATTTAGTACCAGATTCCTTTATTAACTAATTATAGCTTGAATAATTATCATTAATAATCATCATAATCATCATGTGTTAGCTATGAAAATTTTACGTATACCTTGTAATATCGTATGTCAGTTCATATTAACATGAGATGTTAAGCTTTTCTATTACCCGCCGTTTTATAATTATCTTAAACTGAATCATTTTGACTTACTTATGTTAATAAGTTTATGATAAGCTCCAAGTTTTTTTGGAGAGTTCAAAGAAGTGAATCAATTTGATAAGACACTCAGTATAGCTTTATATATATGTGAGTTCAGGGAACTGATTAGCTCTAATGAAACTTGAATAATAGTTAGGTTTTAACGTAGCGTTCAGACTCATTTCCTGCTGGTTTTTTTTTTTTCACTTGGTTCGTTTCATTTTTTAATTAAGTTTTATCTTTGTGACGGCTCAGTTCTAAAATTAAAATCGCCTATATGTGTCGTTAATCTTGAGTTTTTAGTCACGCCAAAAATATAAAAATAGTTAATGAATGTGGCATACAATTAGCAAAGGCATCTATTTGCTATTTGAATTTCGACTTTAGTTAGCGAAACGCCGCTGTCTCTGGTAATATTCCATGCAAATAGGGCACATCAACTGAAAGATTACAATCAAGACGTTTCCAAAACGTTTCCAGGCCCGAGGCGTCTGGCGTCTGTATATGCATGTTTAATTAACAGTTGCCGAAATTCGGCGAAACATTGTTAAACTTTCCACATAAACGTGAATACTTGAACAAGCAAGCCAAGTAACTCCATTTATGTCGATTCATCTCTATATTTATACTTTTGTATCTCAATCTGCAACTGTTTGGGTCTCTGTGGAACGACATGCCCAATAAGCGTGTCGCTTGGGCGGCGTCTTTAATGAGTCACGACGTGTCCCAGGCGCAGTTCCACACCTTCGGGTAAGTGCTAATAAATGCGCAATATTTGGAGAGGGGGGAGACTTGCGTGGCCTTATCAGCGTGAATTGGTCAGGGCCAGGTTTTTATCTGTTTTTAGCCAGTTGTCACTTAGTCTGGATTGTAAATAATACTCAAAAGTACACAGCCGCACAATAAGCCGGGCAAACACTAATAGATATAATAACTATGTATATCTGTATAGCTGTATATATGTATATATACACATATGGCGGGCATGTGACTGGGCCCCGACTTGTCAGCTGGTTGAAACAGTTAAGCGAGCATCTAAAATAAACGTCAACATGCGCCGCTTGTTAGGCAAATGACTACACGCTTTCTACATCTTTTGAATGTGGTACAGTCTGCACAAAAGTAGCCCGCATGCCAAAAACAGTAAGAGTAACGGTTGTTGCAAATAAATGCGCAATTTTCATGCAAGTGCAACTTGTGGAAATGGCATTCGACTTGCCATCAATTATTAAGTTGAAAGTATTATACTATATACAAAACAAAAACGTGAATTCCATTGTCATTTACACCTCCGATTCACAGTCAATATGACAGTTACTTATAAACACAAAAAGACGTGCATTAAGTGGGCATGAAGCAGGTACAGTCAGCTCAAAGGCTGGGACTTGTATCGGTCAGTCTTGTGAACCAGACAGTGTTGTACAATGTGTAGAGCATTTATTTTTAAGGCTATATATATGTGAATAAGTATGTGTAGGTGTGTGTTCGGCTTGAGCCAGATATGTAGAAGTTATTATAAGTCCCAATTTTCCTTAAATTATTCGCTATCTATATGCATACTAATCCCATGTACTATTAACCTAATCTATTTGTTTATGAAGAGACACACATATAAGTTAAGTAAACAAATAGGCGTGCGGCAGTGCCAAAGACTTTAAAACTTGCGATTTGCGGCTCATAAATTTGGTAGCAAAGTAAGAGCCAGGCATTGTTACCGGCCTCTAATTTATTTATAAAGGTAAAGCGCGCCATTCAAATTCCACCAACGGCACGAAAAGCGACCCCTGCCGATAACGTTGCCCATTTACCTCACTCAGTCAAACGCAAGCGATTGAGCCGCGTGTCAAAACTTCCTGAGGCGCTCAGCAGCAGAAAGAGTAAAGAGAAGAGGACGAGTCTGTCAGAGTTGGCGTGGGTGTGAGCATAGGAAAATGACAAAAATGCCTTGAGAGTACAGTATGTTAAGCGACCGGCGCAGCCAGCAAAAATTGCACGAGTTTGTCACGCAGACACTCTTATAAAAAACCAGCAGCTGCAGCAGTATAAGAGTAAAACTGCTGTTGCTGCTAATGTTATTGTTGCCATGCAATGTTTTGGGTAGCGCGTTCTCATGCTTTGTATTCGACACTGAAACATATTATAAAACATAGATTTTTTTTTTTTTTTGGCAGCTGTTGCGCTGTACTGTACATAGCTGTCGAGAGTCGAGTTCAATGTAATTGAAACAAGTTTGTTACTTAAGGAGCGACATTGGACACAGACCTCAAACCGCAGTGTAGCAAAACAAAAATGCACTTGAAAACCTGCAGCACTACTTATTAATAATTACAGGCGATAAACACAATCGTTTAGCAAACAGTTAACCAGCTTTCAAATCTGCGCGTGTGTTTGCGATTGTCTGTGTGTATGCATAACTTACTCGTACATCGCATCGACAAGATCGCGCTCCCAGGTCATCAGACGCTTCATGTTGCCCGAAAGGAAATGCGTGCAAATATGAAGATGCTTTAAATTCAATGCACACGCGTGCGTTATACAACACTAAATGTGTGTGTTTGAGTTTTGTTTTGTATATGTATATTTTAGTTTTGTGTCTTTTTTGCGCTTCTTTTTGGTTTTGAGGTCGGCGAAAACGCGGCGACAACACGCGGCGTCGCTATCGCGGCGGCGACTAAAATGTAACGGACGGTCAGCAGCAACAGCGGCGCGGCGACAATACAAGCAAAAATACGAAATATGTTTGCATCTATGTTATATTTTACATATGTACGCGCATATGTATGTAACTATGTATACATATATGTATGTGTGTTTGCTGTCGAGTGACAGCTCCTCCTCGGTCGAACGGCTAGCAAAAAATAAAAAGCTCTCTGCTCCTGTTACAACCTTGACGTGGATGCGGCAGCAGCAGCAGCAGCAGCAACAAATGAATTACAATTATAATAATTGATATTTGTGTTTAGAAACAAAAAGATTCGAGCACTTTTTTATAATACTGGTCCCCGCGGGTGACGTTATCGCTGGATCTGGATACTGGGTTATGGGAATTTTTGTGTTGTTAGCTTGTTGTTGTTGTTGTGGAGCAACTCTCTTAAAACACACACAAAGCGAATACTACTCGTTTCGCTCTTTATCAAAAATGCGTTCTTTTTGTGGTCGGAAAAGCGAATATTGTTTTTATTTTGAAATAAACAAAAACGCGCATTATATACACAGCGTCTGTTCCGGCCGACAGAGCGGAACTATTTACGTTTGAATTGAGTTTGCCGGTGTTTTTAACGTTAACGGTATTTTGTCGCTTATATTGTTATTGTTAATTTGCTGAACAGTTCATCCGAATGTAATTATTTAAGCGGCGTCTGATTTACAACTGGCGATGCATGTAAAATGCGTTTAAATAACTTAGCGTCGCTGCCGATCGTGCAACGAACTGAGCGCAGAGAGCGAACAGCCGCGTAGAAGAGATGCTGTTGCGGAGAGAGCGCGTGACTGGGAGAAGGCGCGCGCAAACAGAAGCAGTTGTCGTTGTTGCGCTCTGACGCAGATGTGTTACTTTCTGCGAAGACGGCTGAAGCCAAACTGAAATGCTCAGTTGACAGCATTGTTGCTTTTTATTTCAATTTCAAGTATCATGTTGAGGAGCCGATAGCAGCAGACGTCGCGTCGCTGCCGATAGCAACAGCAGCAGCAGCAGCAGCAGAGACAGCAGCATGCTGCTAAACACATGCAAACACTAAGAGAGTAAGAACAACAACGCGTGTTAAGGAATTTGCGCGGACAACGCAAAAGCAGAACAGAAAATCAAAATGAAATACAACAGCTGATAACCAATTTTGTTTTTGTTTGTTTTCGCAAACACTTCACAAATACAAAACGAAAGCAAGACCGAGCAACAACAACAAAAGGAAAACACAAAATGGAAAGAAAAAAACGCCGGCACGTTGCGCCATGCGACAAACGCAAACAAATTATATTAGCTGTACATTTTCGGCGGCTTTGCGGAGAGATTCATTCCAGACATTAATTCTTGCCGCTAAATCAAGGCAATTAACTCTGCGCATTGTCGCAGTCGACGGCGACGTTGCCGTCAGCGTTGGATGTGCCATAAACCGGGCTTACGTCGCGTATACATAATATGCAAGCATGTTAATAAGCAAAGTACATGAAAAATGTGAAAAGCTGCGACTCAGTTTCAATAAGTTGCTTTGTTGTTGTTGTTGTTGTTGTCATTGTTGCTTTTATTGCAACGCAAGGCTTAAGCCATGGCAATTAACTGCAAGCTTGACTCATCTGTAGGCGGAGCCATTGGGCGGCCTTAAGCGTTATTGCCAATTGTTTATTGTATGACTTAATTAAAAAATGCAATCTGTATCATTAGCGTCAGCTGCACTTAACTTTATTCACGGCAAGACTTTTGAGAATCGGAAATGCTATATCTGACCAGAGATAAGAAAATTTATTGCTCTTTTACAGTTCAATCAGATATTTTTTAATTTGCAGTTATCAGCGTCGTTTGTTTGCAAATAAAATTAATAAAAGCTGAAAAAAAGAGTGGAATTAATACTCTACCATGCTTTGCACACGGCCAGGAGAGTATAGTACAGAGTATAGTACAAAGTCTTGTAATCACATGATATACTCATCGATATCATGCATATAACAGCTGATTACATAAATGTTTCTATAAAAAACATTAAGTTAACTGTTACTAACAGTTGTTAAATATGTTAAAAACCTGCAGCTATGTAAATGTTATAATGTTAAATGTCACAGTTTATGCAGCTATGTAAATGTTATAAAAAAGAGCTGGACATAAATAACATGAGACTTACATCCGACCTTAAGAATGTGTTAAAATATTTTTTCAAATATTTTATCTTAAATGAAGTGAAAGAATAACAGAAACAAAAAGAATCAACAGGAAGAATTAAGCAAGATAAATACAATTTTAGCATATATCTTATTTTGACAAAGTGACTCAACGCAAATATATTTGACTGTTGAGAACTTTCAGTTGAATTCTTAGTTGAATTTACAGCTTCAACTTTAGCTTATTGAAATGTCTCTGAAGAGTGTTGAATTTGTACATGGAAAACCTGCTTATCAGCATAATTCGTAAATATTTAAAATTAGCATTTCGTGAGTAATTACAGATAGAGAAATCAGAATTTAGAAAATTAATCATACGTCCCGTGCGCCAACAAACAATCAACAAAGAAAGCCAAATACCAGACTGCCTACCAAAATTGAAAAAAAACAAATAAACACGGTTATGTCTGGGCGTCTATTAGTATGGCTTTTTTTTATATTTGGCATAATATCTACATAAGTAGTTTTCTATATTTAGCTCTGAGCGATTTGCATTAGACATTCAGATCTCGCAGGCGGCACAAGATCTAATCGGAACTCTTGGTTGCCCCAGCAACAGCTGGCCGACAGCTACTTGAGGAAATCCCCTTGGCAGTTGGCCAAATTGAGACCAAGAATTTGTTGCTCGGCCGTTTAACACGTTTCTTAATTAACTGAGCGCATAATAATTGCCAAAGGAAAACAAGTAAGAGTAGTCTAGTCGGAAGTGCTCGACTAGGAAACACCCTGGAGCTACCGTTGCAATCGTTATACGCACACACGCATAAGCCTAGGCCCGCATAATGCAAATGTTCTTGAATACCTCCGCTGTTTATTATCGGATCCTTATGAAATTTTCCGCACATCTATTTGGCATACAAATGTGAGTAAATACCAAAGCCCACGGCTATAACTTCAAAAATGCATGCCAAATATTTGCTCTCTGTAAGACAAAATGCTGATCAAGAATATGTATACTTTATGGCGTCGGAGATGCCTTCTACCACCTGTTGCATACATTTGCACAAAATCATTATACCCTGTCTACCCAATGGGCGCAGGGTATAATTAATAAATTATGCGCATTGGAGTTCTAGCCGCTTATTTAACTGCGCCGAAATATTTGTTTATTTGTTGACTTACCTATGCAAATCTATGCCAAGGTGCCAAAGTGTAGTTGACACCGAGTTTATCTCGCCAAAGGTAACTATCTAGGCACTGCTGGAATCTGTGCACCTTAAGTTAAACTAAATATTGACAAAAAGCAAAAGAAACAAGCAAACAGACAATTTGCTAGGTAATGTCAGGGGCGTTCAAGTTGCCGCCAAGTACAACAAGTTGTCGAGTTCTGTTCTAATTCAAGTCTAACCCCAATTACTTACATGCCTGTGCAGCAGGCGGAAATCATATTTAATTGTCCACCCACCAACGGCCTTAAATCAAAATAATTTAATTTTGTCATTCATCCAATCAACGGAAAGTTTATCTTTTATTTATTTTTTGTTTTTTGCTCGTTTAGCTTTGTTTTGACGTTGACACAGACGGGGCTGTTTTGTGCGAGGGGTGTGGGGGGAAATGGGGCCACAAAAGACTTGAAGCCTCCGATTACATTATCGCACATTGTATTATAGTCCATGCATATAATATACGCAAATGGTAGAACTCACAATATGTGTGTATCGAAGCAGATAAAATGTCCTATCAATAACGCAACTCGACAGGTGTGCGTCCCTCTCTGTGTGTGTGTGTGTGTGTGGAATACTACAAGTAGATACTTCTAGTAAATATACTAGACACCATAAATATTCAGTTTCTAGAATATTGTCAAGAAAGTGCTTTAAAGCATTGTGCAAAATGCTGTCACTGATCTTTGGCAAAAAGCCCTGGCCCCGTTGCGTGCGCACGTGACGTATGCGCAATATTTGCACAAGACGGAAATATGACTCTGCTACTAAATACCCTGCAATTATTTGTAGTATACGTAATATATCTGAAAAGTATGCTATATAACTACAACTAGTTTGCCTCTGCCATTAATTGCCGTAACTTTCTACTTCATAATTTATGACAGTTTCAACAAAGAAAATTTATGGAATTCGGAAGTTATTGAAAATGTTAAAAACCTTTATAAACTGAATTAGCAACTAAATTAGTTGGGATTAAACAATTTAACGTTCCAAGAAAGTTTTTTAAATGTGTAGTTAATATTAATATCCACAAAAAGACGAAAACTCGCCTGGCTCAAGAATTAGGTGGAAAAGAGGACAACAAAAAACACTTAGCGTTCCAAGAAAACTTAAAAAAAAATATTTAATTAAAATTAGTTTCCACGAATCTTAGAAACTGAAAAATGTCGCTATCGCACGCTTTTGATGATAAGCAAAAAGTGAATAACTTTAGTATTTCTTTTGAATTAATTGTTTTCATTTAATTATATCAATTTATATTAAGTATTATATCAATCAAAATATGTATTTTTTAAGAAAGGTTGTTTGGAAAACTATTAAGTTTTCTTTTTTTAGATATTTGCCAAAAAGTTGCTTTTCATATAAAATGTATGAGAGAAATTCTTGAGGTTGTCTTGCTTTGATTCAAGCTCAACACAAAAGAAATTACTCGCCTAAGTGCGTTAAGCAAATGATTTATAAATATAAAATTAATCAATGATATATATTTATCTAGCGGTAAATATTTAATAATAGGAGTCTTAACACTCACCTAGTTAATGGTCCTGGCGACTCGCTGACCGCCTTAATGGAGCGCCTGAGTTGCTTGTGAAACGAGCCCAGGAACGATTCCTTGCGCGAGAGCAGGGTTCCGCTGCCGCTAGACTCGCCGCCGGCGCTGTTGATGCCCGACCCATAGGTGGCGCTGCGATTGTAGACCTGCTCGCTAATGGCGCTGCATTCGGCAACGGGATCGGCGCCTGCGCTGGGGGGTAGCGTATTGACGCCAGCGTCTGCTGTGCTCAGCTGCTGCACGTTAAGCGCCGCTGTCGTCTTCGTGTTGGGCTGCTTGTTGTTGTTGGTGCTGTTGATGATGGTGGATTTGACAATCTCGGGCTGCTTGCCGATGTCCTCGGTGAGCAGCTTGGTCCAGGCGTTTTCGCCGGCTGCCTCAGATTTATCCATTATCATTCTATTTGGCATTGGCTACTTATTGTCTACAGTTAAATATGTATTTGAATAACTTTCAGTGTTGTCCTGACTGTTGCTTTGGTCTCTGCTGTCTTTGCTTTGTGGCGGCATTCGTTATAACGGAAAATTGTGCAAATTGCTGGGCACACTTTTCGTCTTCGCTGTGAGCACTCGGGAGTCAATCATCGAGACGATTTTGCTGGCAGCCTTCGCCGAATTCTGCAAATCAAATGAAACCAGTTGAGGATTTTCTCAATTATTTTAGATGAGTTGATTGCCTCTAATAAACAAATAGGCTAATCAACGTTATAAACACAGTTCGGAATTCAGTTAAAGCACGTGCTTGTTCTTGTTGTTGTTGTAAATATTTGACAGAAATTTATTGTGTCTGGTCACTAATTAGCTAATTATTTGATTAGCTTTAAAAATCCGGGCTTGTTTAGTTTATGAGCTGGTTTGCAAATATATGCTCATTTATTCCAAAGCAGAGACAAATTGTATATACACTGCGCAAATGTGTTGAAAGGGTATTTAAGAACGCAAAAAACTATACAAAGA